AAAAAGTTATTAATTTTACTTATACTTAAAATGTATTTCCAATAAGTACTTACCTCCTTTCACATAAATAGCTATTTTTGTTCAGTGCTGCCCTCTTTATGAAAATTTTTTTATGCATGCAACAAGCCTTTTACCTCCCCTCCATTGGAATTGACTGATTCCAATGCATCTCTCATGAAAATCATCATGTGACAATCTTCTATCAATAAGAGTGTGACAAGACACGCTCTAGTTACGCATGTGACTCCCTCTATTCAATTCTACATAACTATCACTTCTCGTTTAGACAGAAATTGGAAGCATTGGTGTTCAGTGGGAGGAGGTAAGTACCTATCAGAAATACATTTTCAGTATATGAAAATTATAACTTCTGATAAGGTACATTACCTTCTCTCACATAAATAGCTAGAATCCTACATTGAATAGGAGGAGGAGGAGGGACTGGTGTGAGGGAAAGAAAGAAGCATCTGAAGGACACTCACTAAGATGAGACAGTCAGATTCTAAGATCTGATGTGGGAGACTTCACCACTTCTGAACTAGGTATACTCTTTGCCCATCTGAGAAAGGTGTCACACATATATGGGTAGAAAAACAGAGGAGCACAGCCTAGTGGGAGAGAACTACGGCTGGATAGTGATCCAAACCATGTAATATTTATGAAACCCAATCCCATAAAATATAAAAGTGGGTAAAAGCAAAAGATGTGCCCCTAGGTGTAAAATTGCTAGGGCACAATGGACCATACACAGCAAATCAACAACAATCAAAACTCATGCCACTGAGAACCTACATCCATGTGGGGGTAGGAAAGAGGGTCATACCATCTTCACTCAAGTTCAAGGAACCAGAGGGGAACTAGAACCACCCTGACTCCTGAACAGGACACACGTGAATAAGATAAATTGATATATTGATACAGGAACCCAACATCTGGTATCAAAAAGATGTCTACATAATATGAATCAACTTCCTGAAAAGTGAAACTGACCGGAACCAAGCCAAGAGCAATAACATCCTCGAAATAAGATACATTGAGGGATAGCAGAAGAGATAGAACTGCTACAATCCCCAGTACCCTCATTGTGACCTACAACACTGATGGAGTATAATTGAGGGAGGAATATAGACATCCATAATACATGTGTGAGGACTTATGTTGATTGGTTCTACTCTAAATCCCAAACCCAGCCACTGAGAACTGACTTTCACGTGGGGGTAGGATGAGGGATCCCAATCAAAGGGGTGAACTGCAATTTTGACGTCTCACTCTGTTTTTTCTACATTTTATATAGGAGGATATCACGTCATCTCCACCAGCAGAACACCACCACCCTATTCTCAACTGAATGGTTTAAAAATAATTTCTGTACTCTGTTTATATTTCATTATCTCATTCAGGAGGATGCCACCATGGTCCACCACCCCAGCAGCTTGGAAATGGTAAGGAATCTCTAACTCCACTAAAAGAAATGGGGTGGGGGAACATAGTGGACAGTCCGGAGAAATGTCAACACCTGAGACAGTGCAATGGGTGACCATGAAACCCTATTTTTAAAAGCAGACCATACCGCTTTATTCAATACAAGGCATGGCAGAGATGGGCAGCTATCCCTTTCTGCTTTACCCATGTAGTCCATGATGGGCAAACTTATGAAATAATTTTGTTGAGAGGGTAAACCTACCAGCAACCTTGTAGAACACTCCATTCTGAAGCACTACCAAACGAGAAGTGATAGTTAGGTAGAATTGAATAGAGGGAGTCACAGAGTGTAACGAGAGTGTGTCTCACTCTTATTGGTGGAGGATTGTCGCATGATGATTTGCAAGAGACACACACCGGAATCAGTCAATTCCAATGGAGGGAGGTAAAAAAAAATTTGTTGCATATAGAGGGCAGCACCAAACTTACCACTGAGCCACTGGTGAGCATAAATGTGGCAAATTTTAAGATTCTTTAACATTAACTTCATACAGGCCTAACATATTCCGTAATGTATGTTTAAAGGTCATACTGCTAAAAAATTTTTCAAAGACGATTCTAATTTTATAAATATATCTTTTTTTTTAACTGAGATTTAATCTAATATATAATATTTAATTCCATATTTGAATAACTTTACCTCAAATATAAAATCCAGGGGGGAGGGGGATCCAAGGCAAAAAACAAGATCAAGGGATGCAGCAAAACATAAAAAGAAAAATACTGATGCATCCGGTATATTGTATTTGTTTGCCGAGATCAGTTATGCTGGCATTATTGTATGGAATGGGGGCCTGGATTGTCTGTAACTTGCAAACTGTTGAAGTATAATAATGAATCTTTTCTTCCAAAATATTATGATTAAGTTAAAGCCCACCACAAGTCTCTGAAGGAGTCCTTTTCAATCACTATGACTATCAAACAATCCATCCCTCTCTATAGCCCATTAGTGAACAGAACTTGATTACGGGGGTCACTTCAAGATCCTGATTCCAACAGTCAGCTCCACAAATTAAGGAACATATATTCTTGATGTTAGCACAAAGTACTGGACTTGGAGATATTTCAAAAAGTCTTCACCTTTTTGGGAGGAGGGGAAGCCCCCCTTCTCGACTCTCCAATATTCATTCATTTGGGCCCCACCCTCTTTTCAAAAATCCTGATGAGATGAACTTTATTCCCACAGACGATGATTTATGTCTACAAATATGAAATGTTACATTTAAATCATTAAATCAAGAATTAAAAGACACAATTTTCTTTCTACTGCTTGATTTTAAACCTTTTTTGTGTTGAATATGAAAACAAAAATTACTTTTATTTTAAATTCAATTTAGATTAGTACAAAATCTATAGCGTAAGAATTTACTCACCACCTACGGGGAGAATGTGTGCTCTTGGGGTCATAGTATGATGTAAAACATGGGGCAGATGTTTCATAGGTTGTAAGTTTCCTTGTGGTATAATTGTTGTCCCTGATGTTAACACTATCCCCCTGGTGTTGATCACAGAATTTGTTCCTGTTGGAACAGGCGCAGGAATAGGTACGGATTTTCCACTGATATGATTCACCACTGGGGGTGCTGCAGTAGTTACTTCATTGGATATTGCAGTTGCCTGGTTTATGATGATCGATTTGGATGCAGATGACACTGGAGTCAGGCTGATGACTGACTGGGGTGGTGCCAGTGGTGCAGGAGTGACACAAACCAGGGAATGACTAAGAACAGGCTTCAAGTTAGAACTGGGCAAGGTTAGTAATTTTGGAACTGATGACACGGTAGCAATAGATCCCTCGATTACAGAGCTCTTAGTAAAATTCTTCAATGGTCCTTTCATAAGGACATTGGCTGAGGTCAGTGCTGGAACTTGATTTGACCTTGAAGAGGATGAACTGATGGCCTTTAAAACTGAATGTTGAGTCAGTATCTGCACTGATTCAGATGACAAAACACTTGTAGTACTATTAGAATTCACTTTAAGAACAGAATCTGATGTTCCCTGATAATAAAGAGAGTAAAAAATGTTCTCACAAATGTATTTATTACAGTATTACAAGTGGTACTTCAAAATGAATTTCGGAAAGAAGCATTTCCCGAGAGAGAGAGATAAATTACTATTGTTAGGACTAGTCTTTATAGAAAACACACAGCTTTGTGTCTACTATTTCATTTATTACCTTGAACTTTAGAAATGGTTTTAAATTGAATCTCATATGCTTCGCCACATCTCATCATAATTATATTTATGGGATGGGAAGATGAGAGTGGCCTGTTAAATCCAAAGATAAATGTTACCATGGAGACTATTGTTGTAAATGATAATGTGGTGACTTTCAGTACAGCTGCAAGGTTGTGCAGTATTGTTGGATACTTTGTTGTTTCATTTAGCTTAAAAATCAAGAATTAATAAGAGCAAAGGAAACATACAAGTACCTGAGATGTAAAGTGGCTCTGAGTAGAGGATGCCACAGTATTCGTCTTTTTAAGTGTTGTCATGGTAACAGATACTGATTTTGTAGGTTTTGTCTTTGGCACTCCAATAAAAACATTCGGTGCAAGTCCTGGGGTCATGGAAACTGGTGATACAATAGAGGTGGCTGATGTCTGGAGAAACGTCACAGCTGCAGAGTCCTCTGGTAAGTTGCAAGAGTGTACCGATTGTGTGCCAGATGGTGCTAGAAAATATTTATATAAAAAGTATAATCCAATTTACATTCAGTGTGCAAAAACCTGCTTTTTTTGTCACATTTAAAAACAGAAAGTATGACAGAGAGATTCAAACAATATATATCACCATTTATATTGTTTGAATCTCTCTGAATTGGACCTGGTGATTAAGGCACTTGACTCGCAATCTGAGGGTCACGGGTTGAAATCTCCATCACCAAACATGCTTGCCCTTTCAGCCATTGAGACATTATAATGTGACAGTCAATCCTACTATTCGTTGGTAGCGAGTAGTTTTGACTACCTGCCATCCTTCCAGTCTATCACTGTTAGATTATGGATAGCTAGCGCATATAGCCCTCTTTTAGCTTTGAACAAAATTTATAAACAAAAAACAAAGCAAGTTCTCTGAATTGAGCAAATGTTTTAGATGAGGAACACAAACAGAGCATAGAAATGGTACTTCTGCATTTGAAAACACATATTTTATTTTTATATTTAATGGTTAGTAAGACTAGTGGACATATATATTAGTTTTGGCAGGACAAGAGTCATTTTCAGCAAAGAAAGTTCTATTTTTCTAACAGGATGGTTGGCCTTCAGGTGTGGTAGGTGTAGTTAATGTAAGGGAAGGCTAGATAAATATCTAGAATAACACATAACTCTGTTAAAAAGTTTATCAACAGCAAGTGAAACATAAAGAATAACACATAACTCTGTCAAAAAGTTTATCAACAGCAAGTGAAACATAAAGAATAACACATAACTCTGTCAAAAAGTTTATCATCAGCAAGTGAAACATAAAGAATAACACATAACTCTGTCAAAAAGTTTATCAACAGCAAGTGAAACAAAGAATAACACATAACTCTGTCAAAAAGTTTATCAACAGCAAGTGAAACATAAAGAATAACACATAACTCTGTCAAAAAGTTTAACAAACCCAACATTTACGTGTATTAGATCTAACAAAATACAGGTACTGTTTCTTAATAACCAATTCAGCTGAGTGTCATACTACATGATAATATCTGCAACCATGTGGGTAGGGTGTCAGCCTCTCCCTGGTGAGGGGATTGCATTCTACATCTTGTGGGCTTACATATTGTAATGTTTAGGAAGTAAAACTTGTGAGCTATCTGTTGGCTGTGAGGGCTACAGGGACGCTTAGGCATATTTTGGGGTAACTTCAGCCTCGGCAAGATCCTCTTACCACCCCCACTATTTGCAACTAAATAGAGCGATGATGAAAAGATTCTATATACACAATGTACACTTTCAATAAATAGGTGTAAGAAAAAATCAATATATGTATACATTAGTTTGATGACAATTGGTCAGACTGTTTTCAAAGGAGTAACTAACCAAGTAACCCGTTACCTTTATGAATAAATGTAGCTTCTGCTTCAATTCTGTTTGAACAGAAAAAAAAGGTATTATAAAGCTTTCGTTACACGATACAAACTTTAAAGCATTAACAAACACTGGGTACCAAAACAGTAAAAGTTTTTACAGGAATTGTAAATCGTGGATTTTACTGGGAGAATGGTAATTACCTCGTTTTTTTTCTATACACATTGGACTAGTTATCCTCTTATCCTGAGGTGGTGTACTATTTGGTGTGGACAGTAAAACTGATGAAGTATTGGAAGTGTCCGAGGACTGAAGAAACTTTCCAAACCCAGTTGTTGTTGTTGTTGTCTCTTTTGAACCATCTTCAATATCACTTCCTCCCGCTTCTGAGATTAGATAAAAAAAACTTAATTCATTTATCTATATATGTTGGCACTCGGTATTCATTTTTAAGATTCTTGTTTTGTGAGTCACATACAGCAGCCGTGATAAGAAAAGACTTATCTCACAAGTACCAGTAATTTCAGTAACAAGTAATGTTTGTATAGAGTTTGAATATGATAAATTTAACGATTATTTCTTTAGATATTGTCATAAAGCTATGCTAATTTTACAAAAATAAAACCACTTTTTCTGAAAATATAAAATTGATGAAATGTTTGTTAACAACGTACATCATGAGGTAAAATACAGTTATTATAGTTTTATTTACCAGAAAAAATAACACAAGGTTTGTGAACTTCCTCAAGTATAATAAAATATAACTAATTTACCTAAACAATTTAAAAACTATTAGTCATGGACAAAACTAGTTAAAGAAAACAGAACAAAAAAATCTATGAATTATAAAAATTAATTGCAGTGATTCCACTAAAAATAAACAAGTTAAGAACTTATTAAACTAATTATGATACAAAATTTTAAGATCTGTAAGAAAAAAATTTGTAAGAAAAATATTGTACATGTTCAATAAATAATAGACTTGAAAATAAGTTGTAACTACTAAAACAACTCGGTGAACACAAAGATTTTGGACAACTGCTGGAGTGGAGAAGGCAGGTCAGTGGATACAATAAGTTTGGACAATTTCTGGAGTGCACAAAATAGTTCAAAGAACACAAAGATTTTGGACAACTCTGGAGTGGAGAAGGCAGGTCAGTGGATACAATAAGTTAGGATAATCTTTGGAATGGAGAAAATAGTCCAATGAACATAATGAGTTTGGACAATTTCTGGAGTGGAGAAGGCAGGTCAGTGGATACAATAAGTTAGGATAATCTTTGGAATAGAGAAAATAGTTCAATGAACATAATGAGTTTGGACAATTTCTGGAGTGCACAAAATAGTTCAATAAAAATAATGAGTTTGGACAATTTCTGAAGTGCAGAAAATAGTTCAATGAACATAATGAGTTTGGACAATTTCTGGAGTGCACAAAATAGTTCAATAAAAATAATGAGTTTGGACAATTTCTGGAGTGCAGAAAATAGTTCAATAAAAATAATGAGTTTGGACATATTCTGGAGTGCACAAAATAGTTCAATAAAAATAATGAGTTTGGACAATTTTTGGAGTGCACAAAATAGTTCAATGAACATAATGAGTTTGGACAATTTCTGGAGTGCAGAAAAAAATTCAATAAAAATAATGAGTTTGGACAATTTTTGAAGTGCAGAAAATAGTTCAATGAACATAAGGAGTTTGGACAATTTCTGGAGTGCAGAAAATAGTTCAATGAACATAATGAGTTTTAACAATCTCTGGAGTGCAGAAAATAGTTCAATGAACATAATGAGTTTGGACAATTTCTGGAGTGCACAAAATAGTTCAATAATAATAATGAGTTTAGACAATTTCTGGAGTGCACAAAATAGTTCAATAAAAATAATGAGTTTGGACAATTTCTGTAGTGCAGAAAATAGTTTAATAAAAATAATGAGTTTGGACAATTTCTGGAGTGCAGAAAATAGTTCAATGAACATAATGAGTTTGGACAATCTCTGGAGTGCAGAAAATAGTTCAATGAACATAATGAGTTTGGACAATCTCTGGAGTGCAGAAAATAGTTCAATGAACATAATGAGTTTGGACAATCTCTGGAGTGCAGAAAATAGTTCATTGAACACAATGAGTTTGGACAATCTCTGGAGTGCAGAAAATAGTTCATTGAACACAATGAGTTTGGACAATCTCTGGAGTGCAGAAAATAGTTCATTGAACACAATGAGTTTGGACAATCTCTGGAGTGCGGAAAATAGTTCAATGAACACAAAGATTTTGGACAACTCTGGAGTGGAGAAGGCAGGTCAGTGGATACAATAAGTTAGGATAATCTTTGGAATGGAGAAAATAGTTCAATGAACATAATGAGTTTGGACAATTTCTGGAGTGGAGAAGGCAGGTCAGTGGATACAATAAGTTAGGATAATCTTTGGAATGGAGAAAATAGTTCAATGAACATAATGAGTTTGGACAATTTCTGGAGTGGAGAAGGCAGGTCAGTGGATACAATAAGTTAGGATAATCTTTGGAATGGAGAAAATAGTTCAATGAAC